GGGGTGGGGGCAAGGAGGAGAAATGACCCCAAGCATTGTAATGCACATATGAATAGTAAAAAATAAATAAATTAAAAAAAAAAGAGTGCAGGTGCAGGTGGCAGAGTACAGAATATGTTCCTATTTTATTCTACTGGAAACTATCTATTGGTTAATAAAGAGAGTCATAGTCCAGCACATGGTGCTGGCTTGGACTGAGTTGTTAAATTTTCAGGAATTTTGCTAGCTGTGTGATTCAGGTTGCTAGTTTGAAATTGGCTGTGGGGATAGTATTTATACCACAGAAACAGGTGTAACCACAACAGGTGGTTGCTCCCAAAGACACTGTTGTGAAATTAGGACATCAATTGTCCATACTAAATATTTTTTTTTTTAAATGTGATACTGGGATCAAACCCAGCTCCTTGTGCATGCTAAGCATGTGCCTTTCCACTGAGCTGAGCTATATCCCAAGCCTCCATACTGATTCTTTTCATGAAAGTGACATTAATATGGGTTTTGTATTAGCTTTAATAACTGGTATGCATGCATAATGAGTTATTAGCCTGTAAGTGATCAAAAGCTAAGATATTTAATAAGGAACATCAAACTTCTAATACTTGTAACAGATTTCTTCAAAAGTGGTAAAGAACATAACATTAACAGTAACAAAATGGCCATAACTAAACTTTGTTTGATTCCTATATAAAAAATCATCTATTAAACCATGGATTACAAATCATAAAATAATATACCAGTGCAACAGGAAAATAAAGACACTTCATCTCACATATTCCATAAACTAAAAAAATAAATTCTTCTAAATACTCTCTAGTGGCTATTTTGAAATATTTAATTGCTGTCAACCATAGTTATCATATTGGGCTACAGAACATTAGAAATTATTCCTCTTACCTAACTGTAACCCCCCGGTAACATTAACTATCTTCTCTTTATCCCCTACCCCTACCTCTAAACCTTTCCTAGTCTCTGATAACTACAATTTGACTTCTATAAAACCAGCTTTTAAAGCTTCTAAGAGTGAGAACATGTGCTATGTGCCTGACTTATTTCACTTAACATAATGTGCTTCAGTTTCATCTATGTAGCTGTAAATGATAGTTTCATTCCTTTTTTTTTGAGACAAGGCCTCAAGGGTGGCCTTGAATTCAATATTTAGCTCAGACTGGCCTCCTACGCCTCCCAAGTAATGAGATTATAGGTATTTGCCACCATGCCTGGCATAGTTATAATACTCCATTGTATATATGTATCACTTTACCTACTCATCCTTTGATGTATTCCTAGGTTGATTCCGTATCTTAGCCATTGTGGATAATACTGTGATAAAGATGTGAGCACAGAGATCTCTTCAATATTCTCATTTCATTTCTTTTTGGATATATACCCAAGAGTTTACATTACTATCAACAGTGTTTAATAGTTCCCCTTTCTCTGAATCCTTGCCAGAAGTTTTTTTTTTGTCTTGTTGATAATAGTTATTTTAACTAGAGAGAGATGATATTTCATTGTAGTACTGATTTGCATTTCCCTGATGATTAGTGATGTTAAGCATTTTCATTTCAAAAAATACATTCTTGATTGATTTTCTCAAATTTAGAGTTTGAGAATAAACTTCACTATCTTTTCAAAGCCTTCACTGAGATAAGTTTGATAAACTCCTAGGCTAACCAACTATTGGTAGAAAGTAAAACAGCTATTTAAATGGAAAAGCTTGAAGGTCAAACTGTACTCAAGTCTAAGAGGTGAGGAGGTGGAAAAAAAGGAAAAAGTAGGAGAGTGAAAAAAGGTAATTATGCTTGAGAAGCTGATAAAAGATCACAAACTATTATATGTACATGGTTCCTTTTAGGCTTACTTGGGAAACTATGTTCTGAATCTTTTTTAAAAAGAGACCACAGTGGTTGAATTAAAGTCTTCTGCTTCTTTTATGTGCAAAAAACATCAATATTCTAACGTAAGGGAAAAAACACTTACCTGCACCAATTTCTGTAAACCATGAAGATGCTGAATTCAAATTGATTGTCTCAAACTGAACTACTTGATTCATTTCGGTGCCTTTACTGATAGCTACACAGACCATGGGGTATTCTTGTTCTGGTATCACCAGCATTTCAAAAACATTCAAAGGATTTGGTAAAGGAAAATCAAAGTGCTGCAAAAAATAAACGAGAACTACATAGAAACAATTTCCCCATTCATACTGTTGTTGAATAAAGTCAAAGGATCTATTTAATTTTATAAAGGCCTGCTTCTAAGGATGAATGTTGCACAAAAAAGTGATGGTTCTAGAAGTTTATTAAGTAACAATAAGTTTAAGAGAAAATCTTAACAAGAACACAAATACCACTAAATCAAATATATAACTACTACTAACTATTTAAATGTGCTCACCCTAAATAGTAGTAATGAGATTTTACAATTTTACTTCAGATATACACTAGTGTTTTCTAAGGAAGAAGATGTAAAGAAGTAAAATGTACCTTTATCAACATGAATTTCTGCATTGGCTCATACCATTGAAGTAAAACAATTCCAGACTGTAAAGCTCCGCAGAGGTATTTATGTCCTGTATAAGGATTTCTGACTGGAGAGAAACAAACAGACAAATCTCAAATAATTCTGCTTTCTTTAAAAAGACAGTGCTGAAGCCAAGTGTCAGTGGCTCACGCCTGTACTCCTAGCTGCTCAGGAGGCAGAGATCAGGAGGATCAGAGTTGGAAGCCAGCCCAGGCAAACAGACCATATCTCAAACATATCCAACACAAAACAGGGCTGGAGGAGTGTTCTCAAGAAGTGGAGTGCCTTCTTAGCAAGAGTGAGGCCCTAGGTCAACCCCAGTCCTCCCCCACCCCCCAAAAAAGGCAGTGCTGATATGAAGAAAAACTAATGGAATGTGATCTGATATACCAAAATATGAATGGAAGAACTATTTGAAGTGATTATTTAGCTCACAAAGTTAACATTTCTGTTAACTAGGGTGACAAAAATGGGCAGAAAGTAAGAAAAGATGTTTTTTCCTTTGGTTTTGTTACCCTTTCCTTTTCACTTTCTTATGTTAATTGCAAATGACATATGTTTGCATCTAAATACCTTTAATATGCTAGGTTTTTTTTTCCCTAGAAATAATGGGTTTTTCTTTTTTTCTTATATTCATATGTGCATACAATGTTTGGGTCATTTCTCCCCCCTTACCCCTGCCCCCTCGCTTACCCCCCCACTCCCTCCCTCAGCCCCCCAACCCCTCGCTGCCAGACAAACTATTTTTCCCTTGTCTCTAATTTTGTTGAAGAGAGAGTATAAGCAATAATAGGAAGGACCAAGGGTTTTTGGTAGTTGAGATAAGGATAGCTATACAGGGAGTTGACTCGCATTGCTTTCCTGTACATGTGTGTTACCTTCTAAGTTAATTCTTCTTGAACTAACCTTTTTTCTAGTTCCTGGTCCCCTTCTCCTATTGGCCTCAGTTGTTAGTATCTGCTTTAATTTCTTTGCGTTGAGGGCAACAAATGAATATGCTAGGCTTTTAAACATATGGAATTTTAAAAAACAAGAATAGTATTTTTAGCACTAAAACATTTAAGCTAACTAAATACAACCTAAAGAGCTGCTTCTAAGTAAATTGTCTAAAAATAAATCTCACAAAAAGGTCAATGGACAACTCAAATGCATAATTTCATTTTGGCATAGTAATTTTTAGTTATCTACTTAAGACAAGATGAAAATAACTCAGCATGTATGTATTAATTCATCTCGCTGGAACTTCCCTGACTCAAAATGTAGAAATTCAAATGGTCTTTTCTTCTTTCTTCAACAATAACACGTACTGATTATAAGAGCAGTATTATGTATGAGTTTATATCTGAGATTATAAAGTACATTTTAGCTCTTGGGAGTCATAGATCCTGGGAATCTGATGACACAAAGATACATGATTCTCCCTAGAAAGATACACTGTGTGGACACAGTCACATGCTGAGTAACGTTTCAGTCAATGGCCTGCATGTACTACAGTGGTTCCGTAAGATTATATCTCCGCGTAACATCATAGCTGTCTTAATTTGTGTAAGTATAATGATGAAAAATCATTTAATGATGTACTTCTCAAAACATATTTCCATCATTGAGTGACACATGACTGTAACTATAACACAATTGTGGTTAAATGTTTTTGTTCTACATAGTATGGACTTCACTTTTGAACTTTTTTGTAGTATGAAGATCAACATATAAGCACACTGATCAAACAAAAGAATAGGCAGGAAGTTATGAGTCCAAGTGCTAATGATATGGATCCGTATCTGACTCCAGGTTCTGTTACTTTTTCGTGACACAACTGGTGTGAAGAATTGTTTAAGGGTTAAGTGATAATTATCTAGTAAAGAATTTAACCTTGCTTCCTCTATTATTCCTCCCCTGCCTTTGGAATGTCATACTTGATGGGAACATCTTTGTCTGGGAGCCTCAGGTCACTACAGAAGCTAACAAAATTATTTAGGGTGGGGCTGGCAACAACAGGTAAGTCTTAGTGAGCACTGGTCATGCCACAAAGACCCACACTGTGACTTTGGCTGGGGACTTTGAGTCATGCAATATCAGCTGACCCCTAAAGTGGCTGATACCGAGATCAGCCATGTGGACAATTATCACACTTTCATGATGGAGTCCCAGTAAATACTCTGGACACTGGGGATTAGATTAGCTTCCTTACTAGCAATGCTTGTGTGTAGTGCCACATTGCAATGCTACGAAAGGAGTAGCATAAGGAGAGGACAACACAAGCTCTATATTTGGTACTTTTTCTGTACTCTGTCCCCCCTACCCCCAATTTTCTTCTTCCCTTGGCAGATTTGAATTCATCATAAGCATGAGTATAACTGAAGTCGGTTAAGTACTGTGAAAACTTCTAGCAAATTTTTGCACCTGAGGGTAGGTTTTTTTTTGTTTTTTGGTACTGGGGCTTTTTTGGAACTTAGGGCCTTCGCTTTGAGCCACTCCAACAGCCCTATTTTTGTGAAGGGTTTTTTGAGATAGGGTCTCATGGAACTGTTTGCCCGGGCTGGCTTCGATCCTCCTGATCTCTGCCTCCTGAGTAGCTAGGACTCTAGGCATGAGCCACTGGTGCCTGGCCTGAGGGTAGTTTTGGGAAATCCCTAAACTTGCAATTGGTATTAGAAGTAAGGATGATCTTGGGTGGACTGTTCTGTTCCATAGTTGGCTAAACTCCTATAATTTTTATAAGAAGTTAGTAGTAACTAGTAAATGGTAAGAGTTGAATGAAAGAAAGGGTTGGGAGAGGCTCAAGTGGTACAGCACCTGCTTGGCAAGCATGAGGCTGAGTCCAAACCTCAGCATCAGTATGGCCAAAAGAAAAACCAAAAAGCTAGGAGCTAGGACATTATCAGAACCATGGTTTCAGAGCCTATGGTTAAAAACTCTAGGAACACTAGGCTCTGAGAAAACATAAGGCTGTTATCGCTAAGCATTTCTGTATCATGTTTCTTTAGACATTCTTGTGCTTCAGTAGTACCTTAACTCTTATTTAAAAAACTGACCTTCAAATAATTTTATCTTTTTCTGGCATCTTTGCCAGAAGCTCTAACCATCCAGTTTGAGAAATAGCATTTACTCACCTATGCAACATTTGTGGCAACCTTTTGTATCAGGAATCTTTGTTGTTAAAGCGAACTTTCTGAAAACATAAGACAACACAAATGTACTCTACTGTACTGTACTGTACTGTAAATGTACTCAATTCTACTGGGTTGGCACCCAGTGATTTATGAGCAGAATCAGACAGGAGAGAGCATTAAAACACATGTCTTAGACTCTGAATCCAAACTATCTGATTTTAAGAGGACTGAGGTAGAAGACCTCTATACTGCATAATAAAACTTCCACAGATGATTTTCAAGAATAGTCAAATTTAGGAAACACTGCATTCTGGATGACATGTATTTTAAACTATCTTTGAAAATTAAGAAAAAGGAAGTTTCTCCCTAGGTGTTTTAAAAATAGACACTCACTCATATTAGAATCAAAACAGTATTTTGTACCTTGGCAATATGCGGTCTGGGAACCTATGAGTTTGAATATGGGCAGCTAGTCCTGGTTTTTTGGCTTGTTCAAACAAAGCAATAAGATTATGAGAGTAGAGTTGAAAGGTTTTTCCTGTAAAAGAGAAACATGTTACTTTTATTAGAATCATTTACAGCAAAGAAATACAATTTTCAAGTAAAAGAAAACAGTTACCTTCTAAAATGTAGTCCAGCAATGTTCAAAGACCAAGCAAAACAGAAAGACATGCAAAAAACAAAACAAAAAATTCAGTTAATACTATTTTCAAAAAAATAGGTAAAATAACTTTGTTAACATGAGTAGATAATTCTGTTTCAGAACACACAAATCAAGTATATTCTAAAAACCAGGTGATTTGGACAGAACATACATAAACCTTCATGATGTCAGCATAGAAGAAACTGTTAATCAATGATGTACAAAATCTTATGTTATAGACTGTTACAATAATGCACAATGTGATAATCTTAGAACAAAATGGAAAATTCTATAAAATTATATTATCTCTCTGGACCTAACTTCTCAAATTACCTTGGATTAAAACTAATTGTGAAGCAAGAATATAGAATTTTCAAACCTGTTCAAACCACCATAAGAAGGGTACCAAGGTAGAAAGGAGAAAAATAGAGGGGATGAACCAATTTGGGTTATAATACATACATACATAGAACTGTCACAATGAAACACCCTGTGGGAGGGGGGAGGAGTTAAGGAAACGGTATAGGAATATAAATATGGTGGAAATATTATGTACATATGTATGTAAATGGGAAAATGAGACCTGATGAGACTATTCTAGGAATGGGGGGAGGAAGGACAATGATGGAGGGGGTGAATTCAACTGTGATACATTGTAAGAACTTTTGTAAATGTCACAATGTACCCTCAGAACAACAATAATAATAAAAAAAGCTGACTGAAAAAAGTCTTACATAAAACAGATTGTAATACTAAGAAAAGAAAAGCAAACCAAGATTATAACCATAAAATAACTAAGAAACCTCTTGCAACTGCTTTAAGTGGGTGGGGAGGGGGTTTGGGGGAGAGATGATGGGGTCAATGTAAATAATGTACAATATAAGTCTAATTGGAATTGTTACTATGAGTCCCTCCCTATATAATGAATATATCCTAATAAAAATTTATTTAAAACCCTGCAAAAACCAAACCAAACCAAAATAGTAAATGAGGATACAATTCCATATAATCAAAACATAACTGTGTTAAGGTAAACACCGTCTTCTGAGTCCTCATTATATATGGTCTGGTAACATAACATATTATATACATATATATAATATATATAAATATATACACAGTCTTATCATGAAAAAATTTTCTATACCTTCTCAGAATAGAAACATTTTGGTCAGGTACAGTGGCTTGAACATGTCCTAGCTACTTGGGAGGCAGAAACTGTATCAGTTCTAGGGCAGTCCAGGCAAAAAATTAGTGAGACCTCATTTCAACCAACAGCTGGTCATGTTACACATGATATGTGCGGCTGTCATTCCAGTTACGTGGGAAGCATAACCAGGAGAATTGTGGTCCAGGCTGCTCTTGGCATAAAGCAAGACCCGATCTCAAAATAACCAAAGCAAAAAGGGATAGAGGCATGCATGAAGTGGTAGAGTGCCTGCCTAAGCAAGCACAAGGCCCTGAGTTCAACCCCAGAAATGCCAAAACACAAACAAAAAAATTCAAAAATATTCTGGTTACTACTATACCTTTCTTCTCTTTCCATTTCCTCTATATGTGTAGCTAGCTACTTGGCTAGCTAGGCAATTAAATATGTATGTATGATGGAACATTTTCTTCTGTTAAGCTCTGCTACCTACTACTTTTTTTTTGGGGAGAGGTTTTTTTTTTTGTCTTTTGTTTTTTGGTGCTGGGATCGAACCCAGGGCCTCACACATGCTAGGCAAGCGCTGTACCACTAAGCTATATCCCAGCCCTTTTTTTTTTTTTTTTTTTTTTTTTGGGGTAGTACTTAGGTTTAAATTCAGGGCCTCATGTTTGCTAGGCAGATGCTCTACCACTTAAGCCACTCCACCAGCCTAGCCCTTTCAGTTTTAAGAGTTGTTTTAACTAGAGTACCAAAAGAACTAACTTATAGGCTATTTCTTCCTTTGCCATAGTTAATTTATAAATGTATATGGTGTCCCCCGTGTAGTATTTAGGCTTATATCTGAAGGGAACTATGGTTAGGGATAAAAGTAGCAAGATAGTTAGAGAAAAGTAATTTTTTTATGTGTAAAATTCAGAATTGTTAGGTCAAACAGAATTGGGTTTAAGTTTCTTTTCACAAAGTAATATATTAATATTTTGGGGGGCTGGACATGGTGGTACATGCCTATAAACCCAGCTACTTGAGAGGTGAAGACTGGGAGGATTAAAGGTCAAGGTCAGCGTAAGCAAAACCTTAGCAAGACCCATCTCAACAAATAAAATGGGCATGGTGGTGTGCACCAGTAATTCAGGCTGGCTCTGGGCAAACACTGAGATCCGATCTGAAAAATAAAAGCAAAAGAGCAGGGAGCACGGCTCAAGGGGTAGAGCACCTGCCTAGCAAGCGAAAGGCTCTGTCCGAGTTCATTCCCTGGTAACTGTCAAAAAACAAAATTGTTGAACCAAATTAAAAATGATTTTGGGTAAGTACCAATTCACTGCCAAAACCATCACCAAAAAGTAAAATCCCAATAAACAAAATTAGCATAGGATGCTCTGGAATCACCCTGTTCACAGCATCAGCCCACAGCAATTCATACATGGTTCAGAACAACATGAATCCCTCTACCAAACATTTGTGAGACTTCACAGTTTACTTAGCATTTTGGATTTGACAATTAAGAAAACTGAAGCCAAGAGAGGGTATGTGACTTGCTTAAGATCAGAGAAAGGAAGTGGCTTGATCTTGTTTCTACTAATATTCAATGGAAGGCAGGAATGATGAGAGCCATGGTGGAGAAGGCTGGGAGGAAGGGGATGGGCTCAGGTGTTAATTACTGTGCTACCCACTCAGGGGTTTAGATGCTGGGGCTAGGGGTCTGAGAAATACTGTCCTCACAAAAGACAGGATCCTTTCTCAAAGCCTATACCTATTCCAAGTGGGTAGACAAGATTTCTAAGTCCCAAAGTTACTACACTAGAGATACTCAGAATTACAAATAACATTTTAACAGAATACTAAAATTATATTTCTCTGTTTATCTGTGCATCATGAAACACATACCTGATAATGACATTAAAGTATTATTGATAACATACAGCCAAGTACATTTCCGTGGAAATAACTAAAGAAAAAAAGAAGGTAATTAAATTGTATAATTTTCATCATCTTCTCTTACCCCTTAACTGACAAATTCCAACATTCTGAAATAGTACTGCTTAGTGACAGAACACCTGCCTATTATACCCTGGGTTTGAGCCTCAGTACTGCATAACACAAAACAAGACAAAACAAAAATACTATAAAAATAACTATTTTCTGTATTACAGTAAATTCTAAGACCTTAGGGAAAAAAATCTTTCAACAACACAATGTCACCCCTTTAAATATTTAAAATCATAAAAATTCAAATTCAAATTAAGATTTCTTTTATCAGTTTATTCAAGCTAATTTTTTGAGTTAAAATGCCTCTTTACCTGTTCCATAGTTGCCTCATGTAGTTCATTGAGATTCAACGTGTAAATACCATCTTCAGTTCCAAAAATAATGTACTGATCTAAAATAGTTCATAAATGAAAAGAATTTACTATTGTTTTCTGAAATCAAAATATGTATCTTTATATTATAATGATACTAAAAGTCACCCACCCATCCAAAGTAAAATAGTTTCCTAAAATTCATGCTACCTTACCTCTTTCCCTAATACTTTTCGTATTTTTTCCTTGCCTGCTCTCTTGCCTCCCACCCCCTTCTCTTACTGGGGTTTGAACTCATAGCCTCATGCTTACTAAGCAGGTACTGTATCACTTGAGCCGCATCTCCAGCCCATTCTGCTTTGGGTATTTTTCAAGTAGGTCCTCTTGCTTATGCCTAGGCTGGCCTGGACCAGGATCCTCCTATTTATACCTTCCATGTGGCTGGTATGACAGGTGCATGAACCACAATCCTCCTGATCTCTGCTTCCTGAGTAGCTAGGATTCAGGCATGAGCTACCACACCTACTCATACACACACACACACACATTTTTTTTTGGTTTTCACAATTTATTTCTTGCAGCATATAAGTATCAAAACCAGACAACCTAAAAAAAATGATTAAAAACAGTAATCCCATGTTGCTTTTGCATTCAGCACCCAAAATGCTTCTCCTCACTTACATATATATTTTTAAAGAAGATAAATTCCATGTTACATATCTTACTCTGACCTTACTATACAGTCCCCTTTAACATAATTTTTGTATTTTAGTATTTTTTATTATAGTAACAAGTATTTTCAAGATATCTCAAATACTGAAACAAGGAAATTATACAGTAAATATAAGTTATAAATCATGACACACCATAATTAACACATCTGTATTCAGATGTTGGTTTCTAAATACTATTTTCTACTAAAAAGAATCAGAACTTCTTGGTGAAAAGACTGGTTCTAATTTTGGGGAAAGAAAAGTATAAAATAAGCCTAGAAATTCTGCTGTGTCAGAAAGTTAAGTAAGTACTCAAAGAAAATGATCTGGACACTGCAAATAAAAGGACTAGGAGCTCCCACTGCTCAAAAATTATAGGACAATGTAAGCACGGAAACAAGTAATAGTGACAGATCACATATCACTGAATAAAATAAGAATTCATAAGTTCAGATTGATTAAATGCAACATGTAATCTTGAGCTGAATGTTGGACTGGATAAATAAAACTGGAGTAGAGACTAGAACGAACATTATTGGGACAGTATTTTTTTTTTTAGGACAGCCTTGCTATGGTAGCCCAAATTAACTTGAACTCTCAATTTTCCTGCCTCTATCTCTCAGGAAGAGATTATAGGTATGTATTACCACACCTGGCTCAGATCTTTATAATTATACTATGATATGTGATGGTTCTTTTTAACCTGTGGTGCTAGGTACTGAACCTGGGGCCTCTCACATGCTAGGCAATACTATACACCCCTGAAGTTATGATTCCTGATACTAGGAAATATACACTGGGGGATATAAATCAGTGGTAGAGAACTCAAAGTAGGGAAGCATAAGGTCTCCAACTTTTTCTCAAATATTCAGGAAGAAATGCATATACAGATACAAAATGGTAAAACAAATGGGGCAAAATAGAAATACAAGATGATTCTGAGTTTCTTGCACTATTTTTGTAACTTTAAGTCTGAAATTATACCAAATAAAAAGTTCCAACTCCCTTGCCCCAAATATTTCCTTACTGTGAAAAATATTTTTTTCAGTTGTATTTTCTAATAGTGGCACTGGAAGCAGGTCATTTGATGGCCTGTATTTATTACTGTGCTGAAGCAGAGACAAACATTTCTTGAATCTGTTGCCCATCTCTGCTCAGAGCCAGACAGACAGGTAGGCTCTTTGCTTTCTTGCAACATTAAGAGTACCATATTATAAATAATCACACTGAGAATTAGAGGTATCAAGTTTGTTTGACAAGTCACATGTTAATGATAGAGCAGAAATTTAAATTTTTGTCTTTTTATATTATGCATCCTCAATTTAAAAATCTAGTCTAGGGCTGGGGATATAGCTCAGTGGGAAAGTGCTTGCCTAGTATTCTTGAGGCCCTGGGTCTGATCCCCAGCACTGAAAAAATAAAAAATACAGTCTAAATTAAAAAGATAATTATTTTGGTATCCTGTTTCAGATTTATGGAAAAGTTATAACAGTATGAAGGATTACTGGATACCTTTAACACAGATTCCACTTGTGCCAAACATTTACTACTTCTGCTTGGTCCTCTTTTTCTCTTCCCCTACCTACATTTTGTTTCTGAACTATTTAGGGTAAGTTATAAGCATGAAGCCCCTGCACGCCTAAATATTTCAGTCTGTATTCATCTTTTAAAAAGTTTAATCTGTAGACCTTAAGGATTGAGATTATAAATTGTCCCAGTAATGTTCTTTTATAGAAAGAATACTCCTAATCCAGGATGTGATCAGTTGTGATGCCTCTTTAGTCTCCTTCAAATTTTATTTATTTATTTTTTTTGTGGTAGTCGGCTTGAACTCAGGGCCATCACCTTGATCCACTCTACCAGCCCTTTTTGTGAAGGGTTTTTCAAGACAGGGTCTTGTGAACAATTTTCCCAAGCTGGCTTTGAACTGTAATCCCCAATCTCGGCCTCCTGAGTATAGGGTTACAGGCCTGAGCCGCCAATGCCCAGCATCATACTCAAATTTTAATGCCAAACACAATGGCCCTTTACCTTTGAAATTGTTAGCAGTCCCCATGCCATCTGGTATCTGTGTCAACAACCTCAGTTCATTGATCATAAAGATCCTTTCCCATAATAAATATTTTATAGGAGATGTATAGAAATTCAGAAATTTTACCTTTTGTATCAGGATGTATCCAGGATGTTGCACAATTAATTTTCAATGGGCAGCCATCAAAAACTTTTGAAAAACATGCTCCCATCTTATTTTTAAAGAAAGAAATACTGAGTTACTTGATTAGACAATTTAAAATATTCTTAGAGAACCATGAAATGCCAAACTTACTCTTATTTGCATATATTTGTGGTTTCACCTCAAAACAAAATACTATTTTAACTTAGTTTCACCCTTTCTACTAAGACTCATATTCTTTCCTTTTACACTCTACTATTTTCGGGCAAAAACATAGTTTACCAAACATCTACATATTCAATGATAAATTCCAGAAAATTTAAGTTATTACTTTTCTTTAGAACATTATTGTTATTGGTTTCTGAAAAATTTTTTTTAATGTATATATATATTTCGCGAACAGAAACTCTTTAACACTACGCACAATTAGGACTAACATTATTAGTGTGAAATAATGGGTGATTTTATTTAGTAACACTGAAGTAGTTATAACTGCAGTGTAACTCTAGGAGTCATAACAGACAAAATAGTATTTATAGTACATCTTAGACTTTTGCTGAATAAAAGAGTACTTTATAAAGCATCCCATTTACATGACTGGATGAACCACCTCACAGATAGGCTCCCTGAGGGCTAGACAATAAGCAGTAACATTCCTTTTCTTTTTCCTTTTCATTGTATAGAGGCCAATGTGAAAATGGTTTCAGAGTTAGTTAGAAAGATGTTTAATCCACATAAGGAAGAGGTCCCAGTATTATTGACACCATCACATAAAAATTAAATTGGCCTTTATAAACTAGTTTGAGAACTGCTGGTATTTATAAAAAGTGAAATGCTGTCTAAATTCTTTTTTTTTTTTGAGACAGGGTCTCACCATCTTCCTGTCTTAGCCTACAGAGCTGGGATTTCAGGCATGTGCTACCGTATCTGGCTTGCTCTCTCTAAATTCTAAGCAGTTACCTCAAATCAAAGTACATGATTTCATCTATAGTACATCCAAATGCATCTAATACCTTTATATTTTATAACATCCTTCTTTTTAGTGGCTCTACATACTTAATAGCAAATACACTTTTTTCACTTAAAATAGGTCACATAAAAATATTCCTTACCAGCACTTTTGGGGTGGGTGGAAGGCCATTGATGGCTGGTTTCTATGAAAAAAAAATAATTTTTAATACTGTAAGATCACTTAACCTTAAAGGAAAAAGGCATTTAGAAATTCAGTTATTTGAATTCAATTTTTGTTTTTTTTTTTGCCCAGGCTGCCTCCACCCCCATTTCTTATACTGAAGCGATCCTCTTGCCTCAGCCTCTAAAGTAGCTGGGACAATAGGCACATGTCATGCAGCTCCAGTTACATGAATTATTCAATTAAACAGACTACTCCCCTCCTACGATAAACACAGCAGTGGGTGCAACTAACTGCTGACTGTCTGTTGTACCTACAGGGAAGTCTCGCTTGTCCTTTTTTCGTGGCAACTGTGGTGCTTGTGCTGCTCCTTCTATATTTTCACTAAGTAGTTTGGAAATACCATCACCATTTCCTAAAGAGAATCATGGTTAAAAGCTGAATGATCACATAAGAAAGCACATCCTTTGAAAAAGAACTTTCCTTTGCCCCCATTACTTCTCTTCCTCTTGGGTGACTATTTATAGGAGGGTGTTTTCTATGGTCAGATGGGTTAATCTATCTTCGGTGTCTTTCTCTAGATTCTATAGAGGCTGCACTGCGTTCTTTGCAGTGCTATCTCCCCATACTGTACAGAAAAATTAAATTTAACCTCTTAACACTGATATTCCAGGCCTTTCATTACTGAACTTCAATCTACATTTTCAGTCTTACCTATCCTTTAACTACCTCTCTTACACTATACTACTGTACTTCAAACATAATTCAGATTTTCTGCTGCCCACTTACTCATTCTGTCTTCTCTGCAGCAGTGGCTGCTCTGCCAGGAGGCTCATCAAGTGGTTTACTGTCACCCTCCTGTTCTCCATCCTTACTCTTTCAGAAAGCTCAGGTCTCCTACTAAATAGTTACTGTTTTAGGAGACACTCATACCAGCCATCTTTTCTTTTTTCAAACTTTTTTTTCTGGGCAGTGCTAGGGCTTGAATTCAGGGCCTCACACTTGCTAGGCAGACACTCTACCACTTGAGCCACTCTGCCAGCCCTTTGTTTTTGTTTTGTTTTTTTTTTTTTGAGAGGATTGCACCATGTAGCTCAGGCTGGTCTCTAACTTGCTGTATAGCCCACAGTGGCCTTGAACTTACAGTCCTCCTGCCTTAGCCTCCCAATCACTGAGAGTGAATTACCCTTCCCAGCCCAGCTGTGCTTTCTAATATTATGTGTGTATATAGGTATAACTTCTGTCACAGCCTCTAGAATTCTGGAGGGCAGGAACACATTAACCTTCTAGATCCTATAGTACCTACTAAAGGATCAAATTAGGGTTGAAGTGTACTGAATCTATTTGTAGCCCATCTACCAGCAATTAAAGAATATTTACAAAGTTTTAAGCCAATATAGGACTGACTAAAGAAAAAAATTCTTTAACACAGGAACAAAATGGCTTTCTTTTCAATTTGATTGATTTACCCAGATCACAGTATCTAGTTGTATGGACTCCAAGGCTGCTGATGCTGCTAGCCATACCCATAGAGGTCGTCTCTGCTACAGGACCACAACTTGGGCTACTCTGTCTTCTGAGAACTTGGGGACCTCTGTTCTCTGAGTCAGGGCAACGTTTTATAGTTGATGATTTTTCGTCATCTAGGAGGTTGTCTTCAGGGTAACTATTTATCCTTGGCTAACAGAAGATAAGAAAGTACTTTAAGGCATTGGGATAAAAATCACTAACAGATATCATTAGGCATCAAAGTCTTTAGGGCCTTTTTTCTTTCTGCTATATAGTTTAATTTACTGTACTAAGTAAGCAAAATAGGCAAGAGCTGAGTTACTGTCCCAACACAGCTATGAACTTAACATGTGAGTTTTTAATCAGTCATAACCCTAAATTGATAAAAAAATTTTATAACCAATAAAATTATCTCAGTAGTCCACAAAATATATAATAACTAGAAACAAACACGGGCAATGACTTAATGAAGAATGACTCTAGGGTTGAGGGTGTAGCTCAAGTGGTCGAATGCCTGCCTAGCAACTTCAAGGCCCTGAGTTCAAACAATAATACCACCAAAAAAATAAATAAATAAAAAAAGTGACATTGCTGAAATGTCACATTGTGATAATAAAGATGTAAATGAACGATGAACTCTGTATCTTCCCTCCATGTAGTCAAATATTTTCTCAAATGAGTAATATCCTATTTTTTCTTTCTCTAATATCTATTAAAATACACTATTTCTTATGAAATCTTTTTCATTATGTTTTGCATTTTCATATTTCCCTCCTAAAGAAAACTGCATTCATCTAAAATAAATTTAAGAAAATTTCAAGCAATTATTTTGAAATAAGTAACTTAAAAATAAAATTATTTAATTATTTAAACAAGGATTTATTGCTAAAAAAATCCTTAAGCAGCTCACCTTAGGAGGTAGGGGAGGTGGTATTGCACGTTTTGAGGTTGATCTAATACAAAAAGAAAAATGCAATTGAGATGGTGACCATAAAACAAAGATGCTATTAAAAATGCACTAAAGTCTGTTTATGTGCAAAGGATATAACAGACAAACCATGATGCAGACTATGAACTTTTAGGAAGACCTCAGACCTCAAATTATCAGGCTGCATTAGTATAAACCAATAAAGTAGAGATTTTATAAAGTGGATATAAAGTCTTTATAGTTACTCTTTGCTACATTTATAATGCAAACCAAATTAAATTTACTAATAAAAATAAATTCAGGCTGGGGAGTAGCTCAGTGATAGAGTACATGGTTAGCAAGCACAAGGCCTTGGGTTTAATTCCCAGCACCAAAACAAAAAAAGGAAAACATTCTTCCATCTTGGAGTCTATAGAAGCCACCCGAGAACAGGATTTCTAAAAGAGAAATATGTCAGGCTGTACATGATGGTTTATGCCTGTCATTCTATCTACTTGGGAGAAAGACATTGTAAGGATTGTGGTTCAAGATCAGTCTGGGCAAAAAGTTTGCAGGACCCCATCTCAACAAATAAGCTGGGAGTGATGGTACATATTTGTAATTCCAGTTATTTGGAGGCAATAGATAGGAGGATGGCATTCCAAGATTGAGCTTGGGAAAAAAAGCAGGAGACCCTACCTGAAAAAGTAAGTAAAGCAAAAAAAGTAGTACAGCACTTGCCTAGCTATCATGAGGTTCTGAGTTCAAACCCTAGTACCACCCAAAAAAAAAAAAGAGAGAGACAAGTGTATGTAGAAAGCTGTTGTGCAAGCTCACAACTCTCCTTAAAATTGAACATGTTTATGCCTGGGATACAGCCAAATTCTACTTGGGCAAGAGATGTGCTTATGTGTACAAAACCAAACAACACAGAGACTCTTGGCAGCAAACTGAGCAAAATGAGAGTACCCTGGGGAGAGGAAATTCATGTCTGTGGAAACAGTGGCATAGTTCATGCTGGATTCCAAGCAACCTTAAGGACTTACAGTAATGAAAAGTAAATTGATGAAAGTATATTTATGTTCCTGTAAAAAAAAAAAAACCCAAAAAACAAAATAAAAAAAGCAACCAACAAGAAAATTCAGAACTCTGGAACCCACAGATTTAAGTGGCTGTATCGTCAAATCCTTTGTACTCAAAGTAAGGTCTTCAGATGAGCGAATACCATCCCTTGAGAACTTCTGTGGATAAACCCTTTAGACCTGCTGACTCAGAATCTGTGCTTTAACAGGAGCTCTACAACCAAGAACTCTTGATAATGGGCATATCAAAGTTCGAGAAGCAATGATCTAGGCCACTGTTCATACACACTTAACCAGAGTCACTGAAACCAATAGAAGTTTCTGGGATTTTTGGATTCTCAAGGGAGCAATTCTACAGCAAGCATTGACAAATTTTTTTCGTAAAGGGCCAGACAGCAAATATTGTAGGTATTGCACATCATGCAGTTGTCACAACTCTGATGTAATGTGAAAACAGTTATAGACAATACATAAACTAATAAACACAGTTGTGTTCCAATAAACCTTTATTCATGGACACTGAAAGTTGAATTTCATTTAATTTTCATGTTCTTTTTTCAGCCATTAAAAAATGTAAATGTCATTGCATGGACTGTACAAAAAAGGCAGTGGGTCAGATTTGGCCCACAGGCTCCCCATCTAGAGACCTAATGTGGGGACCCAGGTTTCTCTAGTAAGTGCAATGCGCAACCATGGAAGTAACAACTCCTGAGGCTAGCCCCTCACTTAACTGTTGAAGAAAGAAAGGTCTAGAAAGTAAAGTAACACTGGAGAGAAGGGACTGGGGCTTTCTCATTTCTACTACAGTATTTTCCCCCATAATATCAGGTGACTCATCTTTAACTGTACTATTAGACATAGGATATTCTGATTAAAACAAAATCCAAAAACCTTAATGATGAATACAAGATGATTGGTGGCAATTAAAAAAAAGCCAGAAGCTTTACACTGATAAGAACTTTTTAAGAGTGAAAATCAAGGCTTATCAAGAGAAACAGCCTCCTCCAACAAATACTGTTCTACATAATCAAGTAAAATAAATTTATTAATTGGAAAATAACTTACTTTCCAGTATTTGCACCATCAACAAAAGGATTCCACTGAAATATAAAGTTTGGGTCTGATGATATTCCCTGTGAAGATTAATAATATAGTTTCAAATGTGATTTTCACAGATACTAACCATGTTAATATTAACCATTTTATTTATTAAGTACAAATGTTAAATATCTTATTTGATTTAAGAAAAACACTAGCTTCATGACTGTTAATTATCTTTGCACCCAATTTGAGTTTTAAATCTCCAGTTAGATTTGTTTTATCATTTGACATATTTAAGTCAATGACTCATTATCAGTTAACAAGAACTTAAGAAGTTACACAAATACACTAAATATAGTTTTAAATGTTAATAGCTCTCTTTACTAATATGGTTGTATATTCAAAAACAAAAACAAAACAAAACAAATCTACGAATTATTTGCACCACTACTCCATTATCATGGAGAACTAAATAACATATTATTAGATTATCATTTATTTATTGGTACTACTTTTTCCAATTAGCATGGCAATTGAGGATTCATTATACAGAAACATATACAGCAAGAAGACCACTACTTCTTAATGTTAAGAATGAAGAAATCCATTAACAGAAAACAGTTATATCTTGATTTAGTCTTTCTTGATTAACTAAATAATTATCTCAAAATAAGAGCACTAACTTAAAAAAAGAGCTATAGCAATAGTTAACAAATTTAAAAACTATACATTTTTCTTTTTGTCTTGGCAGTGCTGGGGAAAGAACCCAGGGCCTTGTGAATTTTAGGGAAGCACTCTACTACTGAACAACAACCCTCTACAACTTTACCACTGAACTAATGTAGTCATACTTTAATAGTATTTTAAAATAGTAAAAATAGTAAGGCAATGCAAAATATATTTGCCACAAACCTAATTGTTAAGAAAAAAGATCCTGAGAGTTTAAAGCTGTAAGTCCTTTAAAGACTTAGAAGAGTCAGTATGAATGACTGAAACTGTGTATTATGTATCACAGTCAAAATACACATAATTATCAACTTTTTCAAACTTTAGTAGGTGAAATACTGTCAAAATTAAGTAATATAACAAGTATATTATTTGTTTCTTAAAGTATACTTCATTATAAGTTATCTCAAATTTTAATGTGAAAATATTTTGAAAGTTGCAGTTCTTACCATTTCATCTCGTGCTTCTGTTTCTTTTCTCAGAGGAGGTTCAAATTGTAATTTGTCAACTGCAAAATATAACAAATATTTATAAACTCAGTGTCTTAAATGTTTAATCTCAGATATGTAAAGAGAAATTTGTATATTGGCGGAAGGAAGGGAAAGAAAAAAAAGAGTAGACAAAAGATAGAAATATTTTATTTTGTATAGGGCACTGGTGGCTCATGCCTGTAATTCTAGCTACTTGGGAGGCTGAGATCTGGAGGACTGCAGTCTGAAGCCAGTCTTGGTAAATAGTATGAGAGACCCCATCTCCAAAATAACTACAGCAAAACAGACTACAGGTGTGGCTCAAGTGGTAGAGCACCTTCTTTGCAATCATGAAGCCCTGAGATCAAACCCCAGTACCTCTCCAACCCTTCAAAATGTATGTGTGTGTGTGTGTGTGTGTGTGTGTGTATGGATGCATTATTACTATGTTTTTTAACTCCAAGAAGACCCCTTTCTTTTTGCTTACCAAAAGAAAGTTAATAATCTGGGATATTCCTAACATGTGATTTTCTTGATTGAAATAAGAAAATCAAAAAGTACTGTCCGTGTAAATGAATTTAAAAAATAATCATTGGAAGTAGATGACAAAATAAAACCTTCAGGGTTGTGTCTCAAGACAAATTCTGTTTTGAAACTAATTTATAGGCTACAGCTAAGAGGAGAGAAGAACCTACAAAAATTATTTCTAAGTTGTCTAAAAAGAACAAATGATTTTTGTCAAATTAAAAGTTATGATGGTGTTCAACAACCTAATATATTCTATTGTGTATTTGGCTAGTCAGATTGATTTCAGGATTGTTCCAAATATTCAAGAGTAACTTCTTTGATATGAAATATCCTAAAACAGAGAAAAGGATAGTATATTACCTACTCATAAAGTAAATAATTTTCAAACTCTATAATCAAATGTAACTAATAGACCAGAATTGTTCTTTTCAATACTTTCACCTGTGCCACAGAGATGCAAGATTCTTAAGTAGAATCTTAGCAAGCAAATTGTACTTAAAAGGCACTTTCAAATAAGATCTATTTGTTCTTATCTGTAAAAACAAAATGTGTAAAAAGCAATGCAAAATACTGATATAGTTACATTAAGCAAAAATAGTAAATCATAAAATTTTCAATAAAAAACTGGAAAACATTTCATAAAATATAGTATCTACTTTAAAAAAGAATTGTAACTTAAAAACATTTTAATTCAAGAACTACTATTTTAATTCATAAGGAGCCACTTTGTCTTGTGACACAAAGATGAGTTAAGGTGTTTTGGTCATGTCTAGAATACTCCAAGCAGGTAAGGAGATACAAGTAAAAGGCATAAATATGGAAAAATCACTTTTTAATAATCGGAATTTTATATTTAGTAAACTTAAAGATACAGTAAAATACCAACTACATCTCAATATACCAGTGTCAGTTATTGAAAACAAAATGAGATTTAATTTAAACAGGATAAACATTTAAGTTGTTTTAACACATAAGAAAAGGGATTATAATGAAAATCCTGCTAGTACCTTTGGATGTGTCTTTGGCTTTTGACAAAGGTGAGGAGGCATTCTTTTTATTATACATCCTCATTAATCTCCAAAAGATGATCCTGTTCTAGCCATAATGAAGTAAAAGGAATTAGACCTGGCTTTATGCTGTAAGCCACTGTGTGCATGTGTATATACAAACTGTCTAAGACAGCTGTGTTGGAGCAATGGACAACAGACACCACAGCTGTGACTCTTGAGAGGAGGTATGTATGTTGCAGAAGACCCACATTAATCCTGGCTTTTTGCCTAGGGACACTTCTCAAACTAGACCTCAGAAAAGTGAAGGAAGGAAGAAACAAAGATTGGATCTTGGGGCTGCTTAAGCAGTGGAAATTTGAAAGGCAGAGTACCAAAAATAAGAAAGTTGTAGGAAAAAAAAAAGAGATACAGAAATATGCAAAGGGTTCTCCTTAAATCTCTGGCTGAGTATTAAGAAGAAAGCAAGATATGCAAAGTATGTCAGAAAACAGCTACAAGAGCACTGTGAGTATCTGGAGATCCCACAAGACCAGAAGGGAAGACCTTGCCGAATGCTATAGAAAAACAGGACACAAGCCTTGAAAGAATCAAGCTCATCTACTAGGTAATTTATTCCTTAACAAACGAGGACAGAATTCAGATGTACAAACTGTATTATGTCGTTCAAGATTCAATAAAAAAGCTAGACATGTGAAGGTAGAAAATAGGAGCTACAAAGTTGAAAAAAACAGAAACAGATCCAGAAATGATATACTTGAAATCAGAAGATAAGAACTTTAAACAAGTTATTATAAATATGTTCAAGGATTTAAGAGAAAAGATGGATGCAATAAGGGAGTAACAGATAATTTCAGTAAAGAAACAGAAATTGTATGTGTCTATGTATATGTATATGTGTATATATATATATACACACACATACACACACACACATATGAAAAAAGTTTAGATGTGAAAAATACCATATCTGAAATAAAACTCATAGGAGAGGCTTAATAACAGACTGAACATTGTAGAGTAAAAACATCAGTGACCCTGAACTAAAATCAGGGCAACAGAAATGAAACTGGAGTACGGAAAATAAAAAAGTCTATGTCTACATATGAAGGACAAGGAGGTAGAACAGAGCTTCAGTGATCTGTAAAGTAACTGAGTTTACATGCAACTAGAGTCTGGAAGTGTGGCTCAAGTGGTAGAACACCCGCCTAGCAAGCACATGCAGAGAGTTCAAACCCCCAGTATTACCAAAAAATAAACAACAACAATAGGCAACTAGAGTCCCAGAAGCAAAGAAGAGAGACTGGAGCAGAAATTTTGAAGAAATTATAGTAGACAAGTATTTTTCAAACTTGATAAAAAGTATCAATCCACAGATCCAAAGCTTAATGAACCCCAGAAAGAACACAAAGAAAGAAAAATGCATCTAGACATATCATAGTAAAATTGCTAAAAAATTAAACAAAAATCACAGTTTCAATTGCATTACCTTATCTATCTCTCTGTCTGTCTGTCTATCATCTATCTATCCATCCATCCATCCATCCATCCATCCATCCATCCATCCCTATTTTTCAAACCTGGTTCTTGGCACTATCTTGTGTTTGTGGGGGCCTACTGGGAATGGGACTTCTAAAAGACAAAAATGTCTGGAAAGCTGTAGTGCAGGGTCATTTTTACTGGTTATAAGCAGGATCTCCAGAACCAAAGGGAGCACACAGCTTTCCTTAAAACTGAAGATGTTTATACCCAAGAAAAATCCAAATTCTACTTGGGCAAGAGATGTGTTTATGTGTACGAAGCCAAAAATAACACAGTGACTCCTGGCAGCAAACAAAACAAAACAAGAGTAACTGGGGGGAAGGTAACTCATGTCCATGGAAACAGTGGCATGGTTCATGCCAGACTATGATCAACCTTCCTGCTAAGGCCTTTGGACACAGAATCCATGTGATGTTTTACCCCTCAAGGGTAAAGAAATGAAAGTGCATTTGTGTTTGTCTAGTATGTGTGAGGCCTTGAGTTCAACTCTTAACACTAGGAAAAAAAAAAACTTCTTCACAAAAAATAATCTGAATGATGCCATGGTTTAGGTCGTATTCTGCAGCATAAAAACATACTAGGGTGTGGTTCAAGTGGTAGAGGGCCTGCCTAGCAAGCACAAGGCCCTGAGTTCAAGACAGTAACACTAAAAACCAAATCAAAACAAAATCATACTGATCTAGAGGAATGTATAGGTATGTTATACTTCAGACAATTTTCAAAAAATAGTTTTTCAGTCAATAAAAGCTTTTATTTAGCAATTATATTCTATTTTAGGATGGATGAAGCTTTTTAAAAAGCCTCATCTTCAATAATGACAAGAGCAAAATTTAAAAAATAGCTTGAATTTGTGCTTCCTACCTGGTAAATCTATAATTATCTCTCTAGACATGGTAGCACTTCCTTCCCTAGAACTGTTACTCAGAAGATTTGTAAAACATCTCACTCAAAATCTCCACTGGCTTTATCACTCTCAGTCACTGACACAGAAAAGCAGATTCAAATGATTGAAGAACATTATATGCACATATGGCATCATAATGAAACTCCTTTGTACAATTAATTTGTGCCAATTAAAAAAAAAGTTACAGGCCAGCTCAGATTTGTTATGTGAGGAAGACTTAAAAAGAAAAAGAAAGCAGCTGACTTAATTTCCAACCCAGATGCTAAGATTCAAACAAAGGCATTTCTGAATCCAATACTTCAAGGTTCTAAGGAATCACACTTCTTGGGTCTACTTTTTTTTTTTTTTCCTTTGGCAGTACTGAGGTTTGAACTCAGGGTCTCCTGCTTGCTCGGCAGGTGCTCTATCATTTGAGCCATGCTCCAGTCCAGTTCTGAGTCAACTCTGACAGCACAGACTTACGTCTGCCCTTTCATAAACATTCCTATGTTGTTTAAGTCATCACTTAAAATTTTACTTGAACACTACTCTTTCTAAAATCCTATACCTTGTTTTTTCCTTTGTTTGATGAAATGCTATATGGTTCCTCTAGTATATGCAGTCACTCCAATGAATCAATAAACCTGACTTTGCTGGACTATGTATTTGTCCTTGGTGGTCTTAGGATTGACTGGCAATATTATGGTTTGGATTTGAAATGCCCATCAAAAGCCATGTGGTAAAGCCTTGGTTGCCAGTTGTTTGGTTTTTGGGAAGTGACTGGATCATGAAGGCTCTGACCTCATGGGTAGATTAATCCAATGATGAATTCATAGTTTGAAGGACTATTGGGAAGTGACAGAAATTTAAGGGGTGAGACCCAGTTGAAGGGAGAAGGTCCTTGGAACTATGACCTGGAGGAATGTACCTTGCTCCAGACTCCTTCCTCTCTTTCTGCTTCCTTGCCCCATGAAGTAAGCAGCTTTCTACTACCATATCCTCCCTGCCATGCTGTTCTGCCTCATCCCAGGCCCAGAAACAATGGAGTCAAGTGTCTATGGACTGAAACCTCTGAAACAACAAGCCAAAACCAAATCTTTCCTACTTTAACTTGTTTATCTCAGTTATTTTGTCAGTGACAGAAAGCTAATATATGCCAGCTTCCTAACAATTACTTATGTCCTCTAAAAATATATAACAAAGATGCTTTCAGCAGTCATAATAGCCTAAAACTGGAAATAGATCAAATGCCCATCCACAGAAGAATGGATAAAATTATGGTATAATCATACAGTAGAATATTACGCTGTAGTAAAAATAAGCAACTTCTGCTACACATGACATGAATGACTCTCACAAACATATGCTGAACAGAAGAAACCAGACACAAAAGGGTACATATTGTATAATCCTCTCCATCTCCTCTTTTTTTTGAGATAGGGTCTCACTATGCTGCTCAGGCTGGCCTCTTCACTTGCCATCCTCCTGCCTCAGCCCCTGAAAGTGCAGATACTAGGCCTGTGCCACGGCATCTGGTTGTGTGATCTCATTTTGTCTGAAAGTCAAGCTCAGGTAAAAAGTGAGCTATGGTGACACAGATGAGAACAGCGGTTAGCCTGGGCAGAGGGAGGGCAGGGGAGTACAGGATAGAAGAGTCCTAATTGTACAGGTGCGTAAGAGCCTCTGAGATTCAGATGACGCTCCACACCGAGCCACGGGGTAGCTATGTGCGTGAATATATATTTAAAATTTTACTGCACAGTAATACTTGAGATTTGACCATTTTACTGTAAGTTACCACCTCAATTAAAAAAAACCGAAATGAGAAAAACAAACCAGAGTAGAATGAACTAGGTGTGTCTAAAATCTGTTAAACTGGGTTGGGGGCATGGCTCAAGTGGTGAGAGCTTGCACAGCATGCGTGAGGCCTGGGATTTGATCTCCAGTACCAGTACCACTTAAATAAATAAATAAATAAATAAAAAACAAACAAAAATCTATTAAACAAGCAAGAACAAAGCTGTAAAACACTCCTGATAGAGACATAAGGACATCTAGGAAAATTTACAGACAGACAAATCATCGATAAAATGACCTTAACTCTACTTTCTATCTGGTACTAGAAGCACACAGAGCTTATACCATGAAAAAACTAAATCGTGAACTTTTCTCTAAGTACCTGGGATTACAGGTCTGCACCACCACGCCCAGACCTTATTTTAGGCCTTTTAAGACTGAGTGTCATAAAGAGGGCAGTTTCTCAAAGTTAATATACACATTAATGAGATATCAAGAATACTATTAAATTTTTTAACTAGACAAGCTGATTCTTAAATATATGTGAGGAAAATAGCCAACTATCATAATGAAAAAGTATAGCACAAAGGCAAGCACAGTGCGTGCGTGTGTGTGTGTGTGATGAAGATGCGAAGGGAGCAGAAAGAGGAATAGTCCTAATAGGTTTTACCAGATATAATAATCAAAAGTATGTTACTGGCACCTGAATAGACATATTAATGCAATAAAACAGAACCTCCAGAAAAACTTCTAACGGTATATGGAAATTTACCAAGTTCACATATATAGAATCCTTAAGTAGAAAGGTTAAAGTTTTTAATAAATAGCATTGAGAAAAATGGGTAGTCATTTAGAGAGAATAAAGCTGAATCTACACTTTTATAATTTCTACCAAGATTTGAATATTTAAAACACAAAACTATAAAAATATGAGAAGAAACCATAGGAAAATTCTTTTGTAACCTTGGTAATCAAGAAATTCTTTTGTAATCAAGAAAGCATGGCTAACTATAACACAAAACTCTGAGGCTATGAAACAGAAGATAAATTAGATTTTATTAATGGAACACTATACAGCTGCATAAAATAAAGAACTCAGTTCTATAAAAGAACATCAACTTGGCCACTCTTCTACCTGCTATCTGGGGCCCACAGGGTTTATTTATGACACACTGTACATAAGAAGATAGTAACTGAGGCACAAAGACACTGAATCTTGAGCTGGTTTAACTATGACAACTCATAATTAAAACAACTGATATGGGAAGAACATTCTAATAATCCAGTGACCTCGGTTTCTATGGCTGTTATCTAAAGAGCTCATCTACAAAAATTCTAATTGGCTCAAATATTTAATGAATCATCTTCCCCCCATTAGGATTTACAATTCTATTTGTATTTTATTAGTCATGTACCTTTTACTGTGAACTACCTTAAATCTCTTGAAGTAAGTGTACATTTAAGTAATAAACCCATACCTAATACCTTGCCAATATGTTGCTTTAAAATTAATGCAGCTAAACCAACAATGATAGAAAAGTTTTATCTATCAATGATTAACTTAGTAAATAAAAAATAGGGGGATGACTATCACTGAAATACTTTTATATATATATGCATGAAAACAGAATAATGAATAATGAAACCTGTTAAAACTGGTTTAAAAAGGGTGGGAGAGGGATGAGAAAAAGCAATAGGAGGGGTGAATTCAATCAAATACATGAATGTGGGTAAGGAAATATCACAATGAAACCCCTTTGTACAATACACACTAATAAAAAATCAATCTTCCCTTGTAATGTCTTAGAAAAGATTGATCTTCATGCCAATCTGAGTAAAAAAACTTGAAACCAATCCAAATATTCAACAACAGGGAACTATCTATGTCAACTAAATGAAATATTATGCAACCATTAACATAGTTGTTATAAAGGCTATGCTAATATATGGAAATACCTCTATATTAAGTAGAATTTTACAGTATAAATTTAGCCATGTAAAAATATTCATGGAAAAACAGGAAGGAAATTCAACAAAATATTAACCATGTATGGCTCTGCTCGGTTATGTAATGATACCCAGTTTCTATTTTTTTCTTAGTACAATTTCCTGGATAGATATGATTATTTTTATAATTAGAAAATAAAATTATTTAAAAAATAAATCAAGGAATTCCAATAAAACTAATGCCTAATATATGGAAATACCTCTATATTAAGTAGAATTTTACAGTATAAATTTAGCCATGTAAAAATATTCATGGAAAAACAGGAAGGAAATTCAACAAAATATTAACCATGTATGGCTCTGCTCTGGGTTATGTAATGATACCCAAGTTTCTATTTTTTTCTTAGTACAATTTCCTGGAGTAGATATGATTATTTTTATAATTAGAAAATAAAATTATTTAAAAATTATAAATCAAGGGAATTCCAATAAAACTAGAAAAGCAACTCATAGTTTAGAGGTATTCTGATTGGTTAAAGTATATAGCCTCAATTAGTCTGAGATTATATAATTCCATAAAAAATATAAGAATACCCAGCTCAACCCTCCAAAACCACCAGTGGAAAATGGT